CAGTCGGTAGAGCATATGACTCTTAATTTCAGGGTTGTGAGTTTGAGCCCCACATTGGGTGTAGAGATTACTCAAAAATAAAATCTTTAAAAAAAAGTCTATAAAAAATGTGTATTCTTGGGCTTCGCTGCAGATGCCCTGAATCAGAAGCTCTGGGTGTGGGACTCAGCAGCTTGTCTTTTCATAAGCCTCCCCCCCCTCCAGGCAATTCTGATGTATTCCCATGTGTGCGAACCACTACTCTATCGTATCATCCAAATAAGTACCTCCAGGATTCTTACCATCCTTTCTCATTATTGGCTTACTCACATATTATTTATTGTCTGTCTCCTTTAGCTAGATTGTAAGTTCAGTCACGGTAGGGACTTTGTAATCCTTTTCTGCCAATATATCTCCAGCATGTCGCACAGCACGTGATATCTGCCAAGGATTTTTTGAATAAGTAAAAGAATAAACGGATGAACGAGAGTGAGGAGGAAGGGCTGGTTTGGATTAGAGAATGCATTTTCTCTGGGACCAGCTGAGTTTGAGGAGCTGGTGGGAAGTCGTGGGGGTGATGTGGGTCCCAGTTTCTCCCTCCCCACTGGGCCTCCCTTATCCGTTCCTTTAGGCCTCTGGAATGGTCTAAATAGTAACAAGGGGGAGAGGTTCCAGGATGCGGCAAGTGGGGAGATGTTTGTGCTCAGGCAGAGGGGAAGATTCTGGGCTCAGAGACTCCCAGCATAGACAGGGTAGAGGCCAGCTGGTGGAGGCCATGCCCCGGGCCTCCCCTTGCTAGGAGAGGCTGCTCCCCTGGCTGCACTAGGGCTCTAGGGCGAAGCAGCGGGACAGAGCAATCCCGGAACTTCTTCTGCGAGAGGATCTTCAGAGGGAGAGTATACAGAGCCATCGCATCATAGCTGGGGCATGGTCTATGTGGCTGTGTGAGGGGGACGTGTAAGTTCTTTTAATACAATGGGACCCAAAAGGGCCATGCCCCAGTGCCTTCCCTATCCTCTACCGTGTCTCCTACCTCCTCTGAGGACTTCTGCTTCATGACCCGAATGACAGTGGTGACTCTCAGCAGTGCCCTGCTGCTCACCCAGGGGGGAGACCCAGCATGGTAGATGATGGGAGTGAACATGCTGGGCCACGGGGTCAGGAAAGCCTGCTCTCTGAGCAACCCAGCGGCCCGGGGAGGGGACCTGAGATGCCCAGCTGGGTCAGAGGGGAGGAGCAGGGTCTGAAAAGTCCTCTCTGAGATCCAGCCAGGGGAGTTCTGCTGGCTGAGAAACAGAAGGGGAGCTGGAGATATTTATGGCATCTGGCCCACAGAAAGCCCAGCCCCAGGGGTACCCACTCCCCCCCCCCAACTGGCACTCAAGGTCCTGCCTTGCTCACTGGCTCTTTGTCGCCTCACATCTGTCACTGCAGCCAAGCTGTCTCCTAATTGCACTCCTCCCCGCCCCCCTCCCCACCCTGTGCTCTTGGTTTCCACTTCCAGCCTTGTCTGGGATACCTCCACGCCAGCACCAGCTGTTCTCATTGCTCTGTCTCGAAGCCCTACTACACTGTAAGTTCCTGGAAGGTGAAGATTGAGCCTCCTTTTCCTCCAGGCCCCTGCAGGACCTAACCAGGACTGGTATAGAACAGGTGTGCGATGTAACAGCATTAAACAACTATATAAGGTCAGGTAGCCCCCTCCTTCGGGGCCCAGGCCTGGGGGTCCCTTCCTGACCCTCAACCCTCCTTCTTTTCCCCCCTTTTTGGAACATTTGCTACTCTACCTCTTTCCTTTCTTCTGCATCTGAAACCTTTTTTAAAAAAATATTTATTTAGGGGCGCCTGGGTGGCTCAGTTGGTTGGGCAACTGCCTTCGGCTCAGGTCATGATCCTGGGGTCCCGGGATCGAGTCCCGCATCGGGCTCCCTGCTTGGCGGGGAGTCTGCTTCTCCCTCTGACCCTCCCCCTCTCATGCTTTCACATAAATAAATAAAATCTTTAAAAAATATATTTATTTACTTATTTTAAGTAATCTCTACACCCAGTGTGGGGCTTGATCTCAGGACCTGAGCCAGGCGCCCCTGCACCTGAAGGCTTTAATTCTGTCTCCCCAACTGGGCACTGACTCTTCACAGCCCAGCACAGAGCTGGTCACACCACGGGTTGGTTGATGGAATATATCCTTCTCCATCCTGCTCCCCCCAACCCGCAGGGCATACACAAAGGGACTGGAGAAAGGCAGAGTCCATAGGATGGAGCAGCCAATTAGCTACCCTGCCTTGCTTGGCTTGGGGGCTAGCATATCACACCCACCTGTCCCTGCCTCCATACTCCTATCTCCCACCTCCGACCTCTCTATAGTCCTGCAACCCTAAAGCATTGGCCTGAACAGGAGGAAAGGGCTGATGAGGAAGAGCTATGGCAAAACAGGGGCCCTCCATGCCCCACAGCCCCAAGACTCCCATCTCTCGAGTTCCTCCTCCCAGCTGGCCCTTACCCCCACCCTTAGCGCCAGGCCTAAGCTGGGCCCCGCCCCCACCTTCGATGGGGGAGTTGATGAGGATGACGCGGCCCATGGGTGAGGAGGCTCGGATTCCGCGGGGGGGCCCGTTCAGCAGCCGCTGCTGCTTCTTCAGCAGGTATCGCATTGCGGAGCCCGAGTCGCTGCCCAGGTGGCCGCGGGAGGAGAGGGAGCTCAGGGTGCCCGAGCTGAGGTCTCTGAGGCCCAGTGGGTCGAAGCCCACTGCAAAACCCTGTGCCATCGTGGCGAGCCTGGGGCGGCGCCCTACAAGTCCAGAAGGAACCTGCTAGCCCTCGCGAAAAGGGCCCCGCGTGCTCCGGGCTCCATGAGCCTTCTGTGCGGAACTGGAGTCTCAGTGACTGGGAGACCCCCACCTCTGCAGATTCTCAGGAGTGTGCGCTCCAGGCCTGTGGATGGAGAGCAGGGATTGGGACAAGGGTGTAAATGCTGCCCTGCTGCCCCCCAGAACTTCCACCCCCGCCCTGATTTGAGATCCTGTCCTCCCTTGCCTTAGGCCCCTGGCCCAGTCCAGGCAGCATCGTGGACTTTCGGAACCATTTATACAAGGCCAGTGGGAGCCTCTCATTCACCCCTCATTCCGGCTCTCAGCTGAGTCATCTACCCCAGTGTCCAGTCCTGGGTATAGTGGAGATGGATTCTTGCGGGTCATAAGGCTTCAAATGGTGTAAGAGAAATTGGGGCCCGGACAATTCCCCGCACGCCTCTCCTTGCCTATCTGGGTAGGGGGTTCGGATCTCTAGGGCAGGGCTGCAGAACCTGGGACAGCTGCAGCCAAGGGTCCCAGAGATTCCCCGACCCCCAGAGATCTCCTGGTCCCAGGCTGCTGTCTCCTCCGTCCCCCCTCCTCTCCCGTCTAAAGAGGTTGCCTGAACCTCTCCCGGGCTTTGGCGGAGGACCTGCTGGCTAGAGTCCCACACAGCGCGCACAAAACCCGGAGCCAAGTCCCCCAGAGCAGCTCTTGGACTCAGCACGCAGCATCCCACCCTCGGGTCGGTCCTCTCGGCCCCCACCTCTCGAGCTTGGCTCCCCTCACCTGCTTGCTGGTGCGGCAGCCGCTCCCGCGGGCGCGAGAGCTCGCCGCCGCCTGGGGGGAACCTCGCCCACGCTCCGCCCCGGCTACTGGAATAGGGCTGGCCTGCGTAGCCGCGGGCCCCCACTGGCTGCGAGGGCTGCCAGTCACTGCCTCGGTCCCCTCCCTTGAGCGCGCAGGACAGCCGTTTGTCACCTGGGCTGAGGCCGCTGAGTTCTGCCCGCTGCAGTTCGAGTTCTGATGCCCCACCCCGCCCCACGAACTTAGGGTTTGGGTCACGCCTCGTCCCCTCCCGCTACCGGTTCAGCGCAGGGGAGCCCAGTACCGCGTCTTCTCCAGGCCAAGCCGGATACTAGGGCTCTTGGAATTTCCACCCCTCCGCGTCCCCCCCCTGAGGCCTCAGTGAGGGAATGCCACCTGGGCAGGGGGGGGGGGGGGGGGCGTAAGCATTCGGTGGGCAGGAGCGTGGACTGGCGCCTGGGTGTGCGGCAGGCGTGCTCTCTAAGGTGACTGGGTGAGTTGTGAAGTGTGTGTGTGTGTGTGTGTGTGTGTGTGTGTTGCCTTCTTTGACATGCATCCTCCTTCTGTGTCACTAAGTGTCTCTCTGGCCACTCAGTTCTGGAAAGGGCACAGGGTGGAGCCGCTGGTTCCAGGACACTAGGGGGAGGAAGAATCTTTCTGATCCACTTGCTTGATGCAGACAGAGGCACCTTGAGCCTTCTGCCCCTACACATCGCAGGGCAGGGACTAGGGCTAAGGTCTGTGGTGCAGGTGTAGGGATTGGGGCCGGAAGGAAACTTGGGACCCAATGGAGCTAGGGGTTACAAGAGGCGGGTAAGGAGGGGGCTGGAGGAGGAAAAGGGTGGGGACATAGAGGGGGCACAGGCAGGAGGGAGACTGTAAAGTGCTGCGAGTGCCGAAGTGCTGTGACAAGAACTTGTGGGAACTGGGGTAGGAGCCCAGGAGGCCAAGGAGGCAGAGGCCACTGCCAAGGCGGCCATCTAGTAAACAAGCCGGGCGGTAATCCGAGACCCTCCGGGCGCACCATCAGAGGATGGCCCCTCCACGCCGCCAGCCTTCGTCCTGCGCGCTGAGAGCCTTCGCGCTGGGCACCTAGACCCGTTGCTGCCGAGGCCGGTGCCCCCCTCCCCGAGGCCAGCTGGGCCTCTGCTCTTTCTCTGGCTGGGGACTGGCCGGAACTGCTTCCCCGAGCCCCGATTGGCTCTGGGAGGCGGCGTTGGGCCAGGTCCCGGGAGCCCGGGCTGGGGGCGTCGCCCCAAATGGCACCCGCCGCCCCCAGGCTCTGCCAATCCCTGGGCACGCCCAGCGAACGCGCGGAGGCGGGGAGTCCCCGCCCCTCCGGCGGGTGAGCGTCACGCGTGACGTTACGCGTGGTGTGCGGGAGGGGGCAGGAGCCGGGGCGCCGCGCCTGGAGGAAGGCGGGTCTGGGAGCTGCAGAGGCCAGAAGCCCGGGAGCTCGGGAAAGCGTGAGCGCCGGCGGTCCCGGGCGGGCGGGCTTCAGCGGTCAGGGGAGGAGGGGATTGAGGGCTAAGAGCGAGGGAAGCCTACCTGGAAGCGTGCTCTCTGTCCTCTCCGGATTCGGTATATTCGGTTCTAGGGAGGTTCTTGGGGGCGAGGGGAGCTTGGTTGCGGGGAGGAATGTCAGGGTGGGGCCTTATGTGGTTACACATTCAGGTGTCTGCAGTTGATGGGTATGGGTTGTGTGTGTATGTGTGAGTGTGCAAGTAACGGTCTTTGTGGGCTAGTGTACGCAGGGCGTGTCCACTGTTTGTATGTCTGTGTAGGGCATGTATGCTTCCTTGTGTGTGGGTATGTTCGTGTGAGTGTGTGAGAGAGGGGAGGGTGTGTCTTCCAGGGGGGGAGGAAGTATGGTCGGAGAGGATTAGTCATATTGTAGGATTTTGCCTAACACAGCCAGATGGCTGCTTTGGGCTTTCCTCTCCGTACTGGGTGGAGAGGGCACTTAATGACTCCTTTCTGGCCGTGGGTGGCCTGGAGAGAGGTGGATGGGTGTCTGTGCCAGCCCTGCCCAGCTGGGGAACAAGGAGGGCCTTGGGCCATTCAGCATGGGTTGAGGAAAATGCCCCTGAAGAGGAGATTTGTGCATGCCCCCTAGCACGCATGCCTGACGGGCATCAGAGTCCCTTACTTGAGATCTGGCATAGATAAGCCCTGGGGTGGCCAGAGAGCCCTTGCTCTCCTCCAATCAGGGGCTGGGGCGTGGGATGGCTTATGCCATCTTCCCAATCAGCCTTGGGGGTTTGCAGCTAGGTCTCAAGGCAGCTGGGGCCTAAAGCTGACATGTACATATATAATGCATATAATATGCAATTTTGTGCATAGAGAGCACGAGAGTCGCTGCCCAGGATTAGTTGCTGCTCTTGCATCAACCACACACATGTAAATCCTCACTGATGAAAATCTGCACCAGGCCAGAGTGCAAAGGAGATCTGTTTCTCTGGTTGTGTTTCCTCTCCCCCCCACCCCCCATGGCTCTAGGTCTCTGAGCCAGAACATTGTCTGGAAAACAGCTCCTCCCCCCAGCCCTTGCTTACCTATCTGGAGTCACCTTGAGCTCTGGAAGGGATTGGTGAGAGGCCCAGAGACCAGGGCAGGGCTACCAGAGGTTCCCACAGGCAGAGCTCTTGGACCCCCCCTCAGAGTCAGTCCTCAGACTCTGGTCTTTGCCCTGCAGAAAATGGGTGAGTTGCCCTTGGATATCAATATTCAGGAACCTCGCTGGGACCAAAGCACTTTCCTGGGCAGAGCCCGGCACTTCTTCACTGTTACTGACCCCCGAAATCTGCTGCTGTCCGGAGCACAACTGGAAGCTTCCCGGAACATCGTGCAGAACTACAGGTAGACTGCTACCCCATCTGACCCTGTATCCCAGGGCCTCATTCCCTGCCTTGAATACAGTACCTTTTGCATCTATCTCCCCAAACTTGAAAGTGACCCTGTCCCACTCCTCAACCCCCTTATTCCCTGGCCTTATGTGTTGGAATTACAGGTAACTATGGCACAGAGTTTTAATCCAGAGAATTTTAGGGTGTTTGGGTTGAGGAGGTGGCATTGATATATGTGGGCAGGGGACTGCTGTCCACTTCACAAACCCTCTAAAGGGGGGTGTCCCACTGCTAGGCCACCCTCTGCAAGAACAGATGGTCTCAGAGTTGAGCCCAAGGAGAAGGAGAGCATCCCCCTTGTCTCCAGGAGGAAAAGCCCTTGTGATGCCCCCGGCCATTTCAACCCATTGGGAACCATCATTACTCATGACCAAGCTTTGAGGCAGAAACAGAAGGGCACCCCTGTTTGTGTGGCTACAAGGAAAATAGAAATAGGAGCCCGCCTACTCTTCTGGGAAGATGTGGTTCTTCCCCCGAGACAAGGAGCTCCTTTATTCTGAGATTGGGGGCCAAAGTTCCTGGTCCTCTGTCCAGACTTCCCCTGGTCAGGGCTTGCAGGGGCAGATCTGCCGCCTAGAATTACCTGTCTCCTCCCTGTCATTCTCCACAGGGCTGGCGTGGTGACGCCTGGGCTCACCGAGGACCAGCTGTGGAGGGCCAAGTATGCGTACGACTCTGCCTTCCATCCGGACACAGGGGAGAAGATGGTCCTGATTGGCCGTATGTCAGCGCAGGTGCCCATGAACATGACCATCACTGGCTGCATGCTCACCTTCTACAGGCAGGTCCTGTCCCATGCGTCCCCTCCCTGAGCACTCTAAGCTAGAGTGTAGCTTGATGACTAGGTGAGGCCCGCTGGGCAGAAAATAGTGGGCGGGTGAGAGCTTGTGTTAGAATCCCCTACACCTCTCAGAACTCAGCCCTGGGGTTCCTCCCAGCCCAGACACAGTGTGTGTGGCTGCATAAGTGGGGCGAGTGGGGAGGGTTGTGCGAGGCTCACCAGAGCATGTTCTAGGGTTATCAGCTGGGTCCCTCCTGAGGGTTTGGGAATAACCTCTGGGGTTTCGTTATCAGGGTTGGAGGATGAGGGACACCATAGAGGGGGCAGAAGTAAGCGTCTTTGTTCCCTCAGGAAGACCCCGACGGTGGTGTTCTGGCAGTGGGTGAATCAGTCCTTCAATGCTGTTGTTAACTACTCCAACCGCAGTGGCGATGCTCCCATCTCTGTGGGGTGAGAGCTTGTCCCCAGGGACTCCCCCGGGACCCACCATTGCTCCCTCTGGTTTGCTCCTATTTCCGGAGTGCTGTTCTCAGCCTGCCCCTCTCCCCGCTTTCCTGGCCTGAGGGCACGGCGTCCTCTCGTGTGTGTTACGGGGGGGCCCCTCTGCTCCTGAAAGGGAGGGATCGGAACTTCCAGACCAGTCTACACTGTAGCAGGGAAGGAATTTCTCTGCCTTCCACGCCTCATGTATTGAGGACTTGGCATGTCCCTGAAAGCGAGAGCCGTTCACCTCCCACGTGTGTCCCGACTCTTCCGCCACAGGCAGCTGGGGACAGCTTACGTGAGTGCCACCACCGGTGCCGTGGTCACAGCCCTGGGGCTCAAATCCCTCACCAAGGTAAATGCCCTCCATTTCCCCATCACTCGTCCACACCGACTTACAGGCTCCCCACACCTCTCCCCAGAGTTCCTCACCACCCCACGGCCCTTAGGGCCACTAAGTGACATCTTCCCTCCCCCAGCACCTGCCCCCCCTGGTCGGCAGATTTGTGCCCTTTGCAGCTGTGGCAGCCGCCAACTGCATCAACACCCCCCTGATGAGGCAGAGGTGAGTGGCCCCAGCTCCTGGCATGCGTGCCCGCCGTGCGCACCAGCCCAGTCCTCTCCCTCCACAAACGGAAGTTTCTGGGCACAGTCTCAGTCTGACTCGGGGCTCCTGGGCTGGGAGAGATAGCCTTTGAGTCTGTGACACCTGAGGGGACCCCAGGGAATAGCTGCCCGAGAGGGCATTACAGGTAGGCTTTAGGGCCTGTGGTCTGACCCCCACCCCCTTTCCTTTTCAGGGAACTGCAGGTGGGCATCCCAGTAACTGATGAGGACAGTCAGAGACTTGGCCACTCGGTGGCTGCGGCCAAGCAGGGAATCTTCCAGGTGGTGATATCGAGAATCTGCATGGCCATTCCTGCCATGGGTGAGGCAGAGGTGTCTGGGTGGGGCACGGGAGGCTCTCAGAGAATGGGGGGCCATTCTCCAGGGGTTTTGAGCACTCTGAGCGCTGTGACTCTGGGGGGAGTGGGAGGAGCTGTGAAGGGGGATCCACCCTCCTTAGGATCCCGACTTTCACTTCACTAACTCCCTCCTTTTCCGCCCTGCTCTCCCTGCAGCCATTCCCCCCGTGATCATGGACACTCTGGAGAAGAAAGACTTCCTAAAGGTAGGTCACTCTCACCTTTCCCATCGTGGAAGTGGTGGTGGCTGGAAGCAGAGGTGACCAGCCCCCGAGCCCGTTTCCAGCTTGGCCTGAGTCTGAGACGTGGCCCCTGTTTGCCCCACCCCTGTGCTGCCCCCACTCCCATCATTCATTCAGCGAGGAGTTGGGCTGGGGTGAAGGAACCATGAGGGAGCAGTAGGAAGAGATAAGGGAAGGAAGGAAATGGTTTCTGTTCTGAAGAGAACTGGTGTCACTCCAGAGGCCTCCGGCACACACAGGGATGGACTGCCGCAATCACACCGAACATCACATTCATGCTGTCGCCTACCGACAACCATGAGAAACACAGGCTCACACGTGCACAAACAGAACAGAGACGCAAGGCAAGGAGTACAGGCTCACTCACTGAGTCATTTATGCACAAGTATTTACTGAGCACCAACTGTGCCAGTTGGAGGAACAGAACGGTGGTCCCTGTGGCTGGAGTGAATCGAGAAGGGACAGGTTCATGCACGCCACTGGGCCCGGAGGAAGTGAGTGGAGGGTTAGGGGAGGCTTCCTGAAGAAAGCAGTTCCTAGAGGAAGTGTGGAACCAATTCTGAGAGGGGAGAATGGGTGATGGGACTCTAGGGAGGGTGTCAGCCAGCAGGCCTGGCCGACTGGAGGGTGGTGATCTGGAAATTCCTTCCCTCTTGTGGGCTTGGGAGAAAGAAATGGGGCACATACCAGAGGTTCAGAGGCAGGGTTGGAGGGATAGAGCTGTGGTAGGGGGAATGGGGTGGAGGGAGGGGACGAGGGGACACAAGCCATTCCATTGTCTCTGTCTCCCCACAGTGTCGCCCCTGGCTGGGGGCTCCCCTGCAGGTGGGACTGGTGGGCTTCTGGTAAGTGTGTGGAGATTCAGCAAGGGTATGTGAGAGTGTCCTTTCCTTGGTGGATGTAGTGGGTATTTATTGATTTTAAGATGTTTATGTACATCATTCATTCATACATTTGGCTGGTAGGGGTCTTGGGCACTTGTAGGGCATGCTGTGTGTTGGGGGTGATCTCCATCCTTGAGGGCCAAGAGTCCAGTTGAAGAGATTCTAGTCTTCGTCTTTAAGAGGAAAGCATGGAATTAGGCCTTTTGGTACATCCAGGAGTTTCATGCACATTTGATTGCTGAATGTGGCACGCCCAGTCGCTGCTCTGGAGGCTCTTTCCTCAGCCAGAGCCTAATGTCAGCCTTGGCTTTAATCAATTTCTACCCCTAGGGGCTCTCTCCAGAGATGGGGTGGGGTGCAGGGAGGGAACAACCTTGGGTCAAAACTTCACAAACCTTTCCAACGCTCTTCCCCCCAGCCTGGTATTTGCCACCCCCTTGTGCTGTGCCCTGTTCCCCCAGAGAAGGTAAGTGCTGCACCCCGGGCTGGCCTGGGGGCTCTGGATGGGTCTTCACATCTCTGGAACCAGCTGACCTTAGGGTCCTTCAGTGTGTTCCAGGAGGAGGCCTGGCCTGCCAGGCACTAAGCTTATTCTGGCGCAGGGAAATGATAGTGAGCTGGGCCTTCTGGCCATCAAAGGAGATTCTTCAGCCTGGGAGGAGGAAGGGCGGTGATCCCTTAGCCTGATGCAGGTTGGGTTCAGGGGATACTCAGCCCGCCTGTGCTATTCTGTTGCAGCTCCTTACACGTGAGCAGGCTGGAGCCAGAGCTGAGAGCTCGGATCCGTGAGCAAAACCCTGACATCGAAGTGGTTTACTACAACAAGGGGCTTTGAGGGAGGGTCGGCCCATGGCCCCCTCCCTCACCTCCTTGGGCTGCTGCTTTAGTGGCGCCTTCCCTCCCCTTACCTTGCCCATCTGCCTGGTACTGGGTGGGGGCTGCGTGGGGGCATGGCCAGTGAGACCAGCAATCCATTAGGCTGAGAGAGGTGCCACCGTCCAGCCTTTTTCTCTCCTCCCTGGTTTCAAAGAGCAGGGTCACATAATCCCTTTCTCCTGGGCTTCTCTGTCTACGTGCATACATACACAATACGTGTGCATAAGTGTGTGTGTGTGTACGTGCTGTCCTGGAAGCTAGGAACAGACACGCTGTCCTAGGGTGTCCTGATATCTGGCTTCTCTCGGCATCTTGCCACCTGTCAGCCAGCCAGGCTACAGGACTTCCCTGCTCAACAGTTCTACCAGCCCAGTCATTTCTAGCAGCACCTCGCCCCTTCTGGACGCACAAGGAGCCCCGGGATCTCAGCACAGAGACTGAGAGACACTGGCAGGCCAAACTGGGCCGACTCCTTCAGATTTCTGGTTCCTAGCTCCCAAAGCTGACCCGGGAGCTGGGCTGGCAGAGGAAGACGTATCAGGATAAGGGAAACAGGGTGGTTTAGGCATCCCCCACATCCTGACATAGAGAAGTTCGTCTTCTCTCCTCTATGAGAACAAAGGGGCACCAGGATCCTGTAGCACTCCCGCCATCTTCCCGTCTCCCCACACTGCAGGGTGGGCACCCTTTTGTACAATCTTAGGAGTTCTTGGTCTGCTCTGACGTTATAACCTCAGATCTACACCTAGAGTCCCAACTCCCTCCCCACACCACAAAGCCATGAAGGCGAGCAAGCATTCCCCTTTAAGAGCTCCCACTGCCCCCTCTTACAGAGGGACAAGGCTGTGGGAATGGTGCTTAACCTCCACAGGTATCTGAGTGGATGTAACTAGGACACCCTCAAGGGCAACTAGGCCCTGAGTGTACAACCTTAAGACAGGACATTTTATGTTCTGTTGGCTCTTGTTAGACATTCAGCAGAACCCTGAGCTTAGGTCCTCTTTTGTAAGGCTTAGCCCTGCTCCTACTCCTACTCCTACCCCCACCTCCCAAAAGGAAGAAGGGCCTGGGCATCCATAGGTGGTCCAAAGGGGAGGTAGGCTTGGGAATGGAATATATGGTGGTACACTCATAGGATACAGGGCTGGACCTTGACTCTAACGCCCATGTGCTCTGGCCGAAGCAGTAGGTGTTATAGATGAAGGCCCCAGTGGGATCCTCTAAGAGCACTTTCCTGCTTCCCCAGCTATCCGCCATAAGTGACTAAAACTATGATGCCGTTGTTACTCAATAAACTGAAAACCTGTCTACTTCTTTTTTAAAAAAATATTTTATTTATTCATTTGAGATACAGAGAGAGAGAGAGAAAGCATGAGCAGGGAGAGAGGCAGAGGGAGAGGGAGAAGCAGGCTCCTCGCTGAGCCAGGAACCCGATGTGGGGCTCGATCCCAGGACCCCGGGATCATGACCTGAGCCAAAGGCAGACGCTTGACGGACTGAAGCCACCCAGGCGTCCCAAAACCTGTCAACTTCTTGATCTTCACTTGATTCCATGTCCCGAGGGTCCAGGAAGAGCCAGCCTCTTGCCTACCCTTTGCCTTCCCTCCCCACAAAATGTAGGTCTTAGTCTCTTCCCTCCCCTTCTGTAGGGAACTCCAGCTCCCAGCAGAGGGCGCTGTGAGATTAGAAAATCAGTCCATCAGCATCCTGAGTACTAACTAACCTAGAGGGGATGTAGATGCCTTCTATTCCCTTTGCAGATAGAGTCCTGGCTTCATTTCCTTGTTTGCTAGGAAGGCTGATCACACGCCTGCATACCAGCCCAGGCTCTGGGCTCAGGCATTTGGCATGGGTTGGTAGCTTCTGGTTCCCAGGGCAGCCTCTGGAGAGAGGAAGACTAGAGGGCTAAGGACTGTCCAGCTCCATCAGAGAGAAGTTGCGCACCAGCACACCCTCCATACCCCTCCACGCCCCCATCAATGCAACACAGGAACAAGCCTGGCACAGACCATTTGCTAGTTAACACCCCCTCCCCCCCATCCCAGGGCCCTCCACCCTCCACTCCCTCTTTACATACCCCCCCTTTTTTTCCTGGGAAAAATGAAGCCAAAAGTTCACGTCTATGAACAGATAATGAGAGCTACAATTTAACAGCTTACAGCTGTGTCTCTTACCCTAAGTCTTGGCTTTGGAAGATTCAAAAGAATAACCATGTATGAATCTACAATAAAATCCATTGCATACTCCTGGCAGGGCATACCCCTCATCTCCTCTTTTTCAGCTCAAAGCTCTCACACTAGGTGGTGGGGAGAAATCTTTAGGGCCGCATGGTCCCACAACAGCCGGAAGTGAACCTGGTACCTTGGCCTGGGCTTGCTCACGCCTCTTGGGCAGTAGAAGTTTACTTGTATGGGTGGTGGGGGTGACACCAGCCACTGCTCATTGAGCCTTATGTGTGGTGCCAGGCTTAATAAAAAGCCAAGCGCTTTAAGCCCATTATCTCTTATGATCTTCACAACCCACTGTGGGGCCAGACATGTTATGTCCACTCTGAGCAAAAACAGGCCTAAAGACATGTAAAAAGTTGCCCGCAGCTACACAAGTAGGGAGTGGTGGAACCAGGATTCAAGCAGAGCCGTGTGACTCTGAAGCCATGATACTAAGCTTCTTCCTGACCTGCCAGCCCCCAGCCAAACTTGAAGTAGTTCTCCTGGTCCCTTTGACATTCTAGGGCATCTCCTCCCTGGGCCGTTTGTTTACAGGCCAGCAAAACTGAGGCCCACACGTGTACTCAGACCTTTTACTAAAGCCACTGAGGAGTTTCCAAGCTTGAGGGTTTTATAGCTGAAGGAGCATGAGCAAAGATTCCTATTCTTTATTTTAAGATTTATTTATTTGAGAGAGAGAGAGTGTGCGCACACGCATGATGGGGCGGGGGGCAGAGGGAGAAGCAGACTTCCCACTGAGCAGGGGACTTGGAGCCCGATGCGGGGCTGGATCCCAGGACCCTGAGATCATGACCTGAGCTGAAGGCAGCCGATGCTTAACCGACTGAGCCACCCAGGTGCCCCATCCTATTCTTGATTAAATATGCGGCAACATTTAGAGGGGACCCCTAGCAGGCTCAGTCAGTATAGCATGCGACTCCTAGTCTTGGGGTCATGAATTCATGACCCACGTCAGGCCTAGAGCTTACTTTAAAAAAATTTTTTTAAGTATCGGGTGACATTTAGAAAACACGTTTCAATTCCATCCTGTTCTGCCAGTCTTGAGTGGTGCCTCCCACCAAGCCCACGGGGCCCTGGGTCAGCTCTTCAAGCTTCTTTCTTTCTTTCTTTCTTTTTTTTAAGATTTTATTTATTTATTTGGCAGAGAGAGACAGTGAGAGAGGGAACACATGCAGGGGGAGTGGGAGAGGGAGAAGCAGGCTTCCCATTGAGCAGGGAGCCCGATGCGGGGCTTGATCCCAGGACCCTGGGATCATGACCTGAGCCGAAGGCAGATACTTAACAACTGAGCCACCCAGGCGCCCCTCTTCAAGCCTCTTTCTGCAGGTACAGCTTTCCCCTTTGGTAATTCCCTTGAAAAGGGGCCTTGAACTTTTACTGGAAAATCCATATAAAATAAACCTACTTGGGGAGTGAGGTGCAGGAATCTCTGTTAAACAAAATCACTAAGAACATTTTATAACACAGTTATTTGTGCTCTGCAGATAACACTAAACCATATCAGAGAGACGACTGGCCAAGGCACCAATGGGGCCAGTTAGGAAGGAATGCTTTCCTGTCATCTTTCCTTCCTAGTTCTACCACAGCTTCTCAAAGCAAAAGTTAGCTTTAGGCACACTTCACAGGCTTTCTAGGGGCAAATCCTAGCCGGGTTCCTTTTCCAGACTGCCTCCACATACTTGGACTTTTTCCTCAGAAGTCAGCACTTGGGCAGAGGTAGCACTTTTCTCGCTGGAAAGTAATCTCCCCCATTCTTGGGCCTCCCTTCCTCCTCTTCCTGCTCAGACTCTGAGAACCTTCTTTGGGAGCCTACATCTGCATCCTTGGTCTTCCTCCCCAGCCTTCTTCCCTTGGCCTGGCCTCATCTGCTCCAGAGCTCCCACCTTGCCCATTATGAAGACCACAGCCCTCCCTCTCTCCCAGCCCATGTTCTAAGGAGAAAAAGGGCTCCCGTCTGGCTTAGCCTGGCCAGAGGAAGGAGGCCAAGTGAGTATATCCTGTTCTTCTCTAGGGTCCCCTGCTCTTTTCTAGGGTCAGTGAGGCCGGCATCTTAGGGGCAGTGGTGAGGGCCAGTTTCAGCTCCGGCCCTGTGGGCTCATGCCAAGACTAGGCTAGTCCCCGGTCCCCTACGAGTCACAGACAAGCCCCATTTCCTCCGTCAAGCTCTCCTCTCAACCCAGCCCCGCCCTGGGGGTGGGTGGGTGCCTGTCAGTCATAGGTAGGCCACGCCCCGCGGGGGGGGGCAAAGCCAGTCTGGCGCAGAGTCCCGCCCCTGCTCTGGCCCTTGTCAGTCAAAGTCAGGCTCGGCCCCACCTCCTTTCCGTTTCCCAGGCAACGGCTTTAATCGCCGCTGGCCCGGAATGCAATTCATCTTCCCCGTCTGAGCGAGGGACTCAGATCCGCTTTCCGGGTGACCTCGGTCCCGGACCCTTAAATCCGCCAAATCGCCTCCCTCCTTTACTGTTTCGAAGCCCACGGGCTCCTGAGCGCCCGCCCTTTGACTTCCTGCCCGGAAATCCGCGAGGTTTTCGAGGAATCGCGTGAGGCCTCTCCTTGGGTCCCAAGCCCGGGTTTTTCCGCGGCCTACGAGGTTATCGGCCCTGCCTCTTGCACTTGCCTCCCACAGTTGGGGAAACGTTTATTGAAGTCTGCTAAGAGTGGCTCTGTGCCCGGCGCTGGGTAGAAATGTCTTGTTGGGTGAACCGAGGCCCTTCCCATCTGCAGGGACACAGCCTGTGCCCAGCAGTCATTAAGGTGCCTCTCCCTCCGTCCCCTCCACGTCAGTCTCCCTGCCTGTTACAGCGATCTCGGCCCAATTCTGCTGCATTCTTTTGCTCGGAATTGTGGAGGGATCTTGACCCGGCTGCATCATTCCCTCCAAGGGAGCTTCCTGGGCAGCGCCCTCCCTTCTTTCTAAATATACACACCTTTTTCCTCATGGGCAGTTGTCCCAACTCAGGCTGCCAGGGGGACAACAGCAGGCCCCAGCTTTGCGTCCCAGCCTCCTCCAGCTTCTCCTTCCTTTCTCCAATCTTAGACCAGCAAGGTTTTGCAACTAAATAACGACCAGGAGAACAGGGGAGGGAGGAACCCCGCATAGCTTGGGCCACACACACAACCCCTTCCTCCTCCCACCCCATACATCCAATAGGAGAGTAACCAGCTCCTGGTAACAAGCCACAAGCAGTTCCTTCAAGGTAGGGTGTTTGCTTATGGAATAAGAGTTTGCTATGTAAATCTAAAAACCAATCAACCATCTATATTACTTTCTGACTGAAGACCTCCCTTCTCCTATCACCAGCAAGTCCTCAATCAGTTACAACTTTTATTTCCCAGAAGAAGCACTTCTGGTTTGGGTTTTAGTTCAAGTTATTTTTGTGGAAAGCAACAGAGAATGATTGTGGCCAGCTTCAGTCAACAGAGATGTATTGGAAGGAGTCTGCAGTAACTCTCAGAACCAGAGTTGGGACTAACCAGCCTGGCTTTGGAACGAGCAGGAAGCTGGGCAGCTCTGGGGCCTCAGCAACTGGAGTTTATGGACACTGCCAT